ACCACAGCCAGCATGCCGAGCAGGGAATGGGATCCAGCACCATGGGAAAGCACAACATCCCGAAAACCACTGCCAGTAATCCCAAGCAGGGAATGGGATCCAGCACCATGGGAAACCACAACAGAGGGATGAATGGGACACAACCATGGACACACCCAAGGGATCCAGCACCATGGGAAAGCACAACAGTGGGATGAGGGAATGGGACATGCTCCAGGGATCCAGCACCACAGGGAAGACAGTGCTGCTGAGAGCAATGGACACCCAGGGTTGTGATGGGTGGATTCTTCTGCCTCCCAGATGAGTCACGGAGTCAGGGAATATCCACAGGGATCATCAGTCCAACTGCCCAGGACACCCCAACAATCCCACCCTGTCCCTGAGAGCGTTGTCCAAACCCTCCTGGAGCTCTGGCAGCCTTGGGGCTGTGCCCACTGCCCTGGGGAGCCTGGGCAGTGCCCAACCAGCCTCTGGGGGAAGAACCTTTTCCCGAGATCCAACCTGACCCTGCCCTGGCACAGCTCCAGCCATTCCCTGGCTGCTGTCCCTGCTCACCCAGAGCAGAATCGGAGCTGCCCATCCCAGGATGCTGCAGATCCCAATGATCTCTGCCCTCAGGCTCCTCTTCTCCAGGAAGAGAGATCCCTGTCCCTCCCCAGGGGGTGATGGATCCATGGAAAAGCTCTTACTGTGGATCCTGAAGTCCTCCTCGAAGCACTTTCGGTTGAGCAGGAATTCTGGTCCCTCTGTGTAGCTGTAAAGCTCTGCCAAGAGAGGGGAAGCTCCAAAAAGCTGCAGAGCTGCAACTTGGGAACTGCATTTTTAGCCCAAAAACTCAAAATTCCCCAAAAAACCCCACCCAGCATAAGGCTGACAACATTCATTAAATGGATCCTTTCCCTTTTAACATCCATCAGGTTTTTAAGGATAATGATGGAGCTGAGAGAGCTCCTTTAATTGTCCCAGCAGAGGAAGTCACTGGTTAATTGATGCATCCCAAGAATTCCTCACCTGACAGCTCTGCTGCCCATTTATCCGTGTCTGCATATTCAAACTCCAGGTCTGGAGACTCCGAATAGCCCTGAAAGAAACGGGAAAAATCAGTTCAATTCCAGCACATCCCAGGAAAACCCCAAATCCCTGCAAACAGCCACAATTCACCTCATCCTCCTGCAAAGCCAGGGCTGTTTTTCCTGGCTTAGGGACCAGGAATGTCCCTGCGGCAGCACAAACGTTACCGAGGCAACTCCAACCCACCTCCTGCGGCTCCATCCAGGATGTGCCGCAGGGACTGCCCGGCTGGAGCCACTGCAGCACCCCCGGAACACCGCAAACACCCCCACAACACCCTCAAACACCCCCAGAACACACTCAAACACCCCCAGAACACTGCGGGAGCCCCCACAGCACAGCAAACACGGCAGGAGACGGGGAGGGAATTCTGTGGGATTAAGGAGCTCTCAGAGCTCCCACATTTCACACAGAATTGGAAAAATTTGGGCTATCTCCGCCCCGGCCCCGTGCCATGGGGGGTGTGTGTCAGCAGGATTGGTGAGGATGGAACTGCTCCAAACACTTCGGAGAGGCGGGAAAACCACCCAGGAGAAGCTTCAGAGCACAAAATATCAGCTCCCTTTAGGGAGGGACCCACGGAATTTCAGGGAATCCACCCCTGAGTGGGGCAGAAGTCTCCTGAATTTCGGGGCACTCAGACCCACAGCAAAACCCTCCCAAATTTCGGGGCACCCACTCCTGAGGGAGGGGCAGATCCACAGCGAAACCTCCTGAATTTTGGGGCATCCACCACTGAGGGGGAAACAGATCCACAGCAGGATTTTGGGGCACCCACTCTGAGCGAGGGGCAGACCCAGAGCAGATCCCTCCCAAATCTGGGGGGCACCCAGCCCCACCCCAGCCCCCTCCCGAATCCTGGGACCCTGAGAGAAGGGCTGGCTCTGCACTGGGCGCTCCCCCCTCAGTCCATTCCAGGGCTGCCATCCCCTCTCCATGGGAGCAGGTGGCTCTGGGGCCATCACAGGAATGAAACACTCGCGAAAAGCCCCCTCGGCTCCACACAACCCCCCGGACCCCCCGGCTCAGGGGGGACACCCCGGGACCCCGCCGTGCCCGTGGAGGGTCGGGCCCCTCTTCCCGGATCCACCCCTGCTCCGAGCATGGAAACGGGACCCGGGCCGGGAACACCGGGAGAGCCCCGGGACGGGCCGGGAGAGCCCCGACTGGGGTCCTGGGGCCGAGCCACCCCCGGGCTCCACCCCGGTCACACCGGCCCGGGGCTGGGGGAGGGAGGGATGGACGGAATGGACGGGAACCGGCACCGAGCGAGCCCCGGCACCGACCCCGGGCTCCGGCTCCGCTGCCACCGCGGCTCGGGGGGAACCGGGACCGCCCCTGGGAATCGGTAGCGGAGCTGGTTCCGGGACAGCGGCCGGTCCGGGGCTGACCCGGAGGAAGGAGGGGCTGGAAACACCGCCCGGGCACGGGCACGGCACCCACAGACAGCCGGCACCGCCAGACACCGGGCACCCCGGCACCGCCAGACACCGGGCACCCCGGCACCGCCAGACACCGGGCACCCCGGCACCGCGGGCACCGACACCCCCTCAGCCACCGGCACGGCCGGGCAGGCCCCGCCGAACCCCGGCGCGGCCCGCCCCGCCCGGGCAGTGCCTCCCCGCTGACCTCGGAGTCCTTCCTGGGCGGCCGGGCCATGTCGCGGCCCCTGTTGGGCGCGGCCGCCCCGCCGCGGCCCCTGTTGTTGTTGTTGCCCGGTGCCGCTGCCGGGCCCGGCCCGGGGCCGCCGCCCGCCTCCATGGCGGCCGCTCCGCCGCCAGCTCTCGCGAGGACTCACCCCCTCCTCTCGCGGGAGCGGCAGCGACAGCCGGGGCAGCGCCGCCGCCATGTTGGGAGTGGCGCCGCGGGGCGCTCGGTGTGTCCGGTGGGTGCGATGGGGCTCCGCCGCCGCTCTCGTCGCCCCGCCGAGGCCGCCGCGTCACGGCCCGGCCCTGCCCGCCCCCGCCGGCCGCGGGCGGCGCGGCGACCGGGGCAAACGGGGCTCCGCCCCCGCGCCACCATCCTGGGTGTGGCGCGGCACTGGGCGCCGCCATGTTGGGAGCGGCACTTCCGCCCCACGTGCCCCCGGCCGCTGGGGGCCGCCATGTTGGGAGGGGCGGGGGGGCAGATCCCAAATTCACGGGCCTGGAACGAGGGAATTCTCAAATCAAGGAGCTTGGGGAGCTCAGACCCCAAAGAGGGGGCGCCTGGCAGTGCTCAGAGGGAACCCAGATGGTGTCTAAAGCCCAAGTGAAAGTGCCCAGAGGGCATGAGACCCCAAAATTCCACGGTTCTAAGGACGCTCAGGGAATTCTGTTGGGACCCAAAATCCACCTGGAGGTGGCCAAAGGCAGGTCCCTTTCCCTACTCAGGCACAGCTCAAGGTCCCCCCACGACACCAAATAAACCTTCCGGAACCACGAGTGCTCGGCTTTTCCTAATAGTTTAATTAGATTTAATGATTTATTGCTCATCTGCGAGGATTAATATTGCATTCATTAAAAATCATTCATATACAAAATAAACCTCTCCCTGCTGCTGTCCCCAGCCCCCCCTTGCCATGGCTTGTCCAGACACGGAGCCCTTGCGCCCCAAAATGGTGGGAAAAGGGGGGGCCAAGATTCCCAAACAGGGGAGAATCCCAGCTCCTGGGAAAGGGGGGATGCTCCCGCTCTCAGTCCATCCTCACAGACGCCCGTCCCGGCTCGCTGAGCCCTCCCAGTGAGGTTTGGGGGGTGGTGGAGGGGAATGTGATCCCCAAAATCTACAGGGAAGGCGAGGTGGGTGATCCCCAAAATCTATGGAGCGACCCAGCAACATTCCAGGAGGAAACCAGGCAGGGTGGGAAGGGGATGAGAGGGGGGGTGATCCACCAGCACCTCTCCCACCCCCCTCCTGTCCCCCGCAGCCCCGCAAATTCCCAGGGGGATCCCGGGGATGGGGGGAAGGAGCAGCTCCAATCCTGGGTTCCGCAGTATCTCCATGATCCCTGTACCGGGAGATGCTGGAACTGGGGCTGTTCCCCCCTCCCCTGGGCTGGGGCAAGGACAGAGGTGGTTTGGGGAGGAGAAAAAGAGCCAAGAGAAACCTCCCGGGCTTGGAAGGAGCGTCTCCCATCCCCAGGAAAAGCTGCGGGAATGGGGAAGGGAAATGTCAGTGGGAGTGGGGTGAGAAAGGGGCTGGAAAACACTCGGGAAAGGGGCTGGAAAACAGCCAGGGGAGAGCTGGGAGGGCCGGGACAGGGAGCAGAGGGTCCAGGGTGTGGGAAGGCTCATCTCTGCATCCAGCTGGAAAAAAATTAGGGAAATACCCCCCAAAAAACCCCCAGACCCCCTGAACAACCCCCCCCGCCCAGTGCTTCCCATTGGGAGACAGGAAAGCAGCCACATCCTGGGAAACACCCCTTAGACATCCCCTTGGAACATCCCCACTCTCGAAAACAGCTCTGGAAGGACTGAGAAGGAAAAGAGGAAGAAAAAAAACCAACTAAACAAAGAAAAAAATGGTTTAAAACTCAATTAAGGTGCAGTTTGGCTAAAAAAAAACCAAAAAAAACCTGGGAGAGATGAGGATAATGCTGGGAAAAGCGACCCCCATCCGGATTCAAGATTAGCACCCTGAAAAAACTCCCCCCCGGGCCCAGGTGGCCACTAAAGCCGGGTCAGTGGCCACCAAAGCCGGGCCACGTCGGCACAGGGGCCTGGGGACCCCCCACCCCATTCCAGGCGTCCTGCAGGCTCCGCTCTGCTCCCGGGAAGCACCCGGAGCAGGGATCTAGCAGCTAAAACTGGGCTCTTTAAGGCAATTTAGAAGTTGCAGAAATTCCACACAAAGAAAGAAAAGAGAAGAGAAGGAAAACGGAGCATCTCCGGATCCGCAGGGAGACCAGGGTGGGAAAAAACACCAAAGGAAAGCAAAACAAACCCATCGCTGCAGGAATGAAGTGCCCTGGGAACAGCAGGAAAGGGAAAACCTCTCCCAAAGCCAGGGCTGGGAATCACAGGCTTCAGCACATGGAAGCAAGAAGCAAATGCCAGGTTTGTCTGGTCAGGTCAGACTGAGATGTGATGGTGGGAAAGGGGCAGGAAAAGAAATCCTGGCCTTGAAATCACAGAGAAATGTAAAAACAGGAAAAATGGGCTCTGGGGGGGGGGGGAAGGAACAATAAAAAAAAAAGGTAAACCAAAATAAAAATGATTTTTAAAAATAATCTCTCGAATGTTGCCTTGTGTGGTCTGGTCCTTCTGGGAATGGTCCATCAGTATCTAGGAGAGAAGGGGCACAGTGAGGGCTGGAACACAGATCCCGGGAGCTGAGGCTGTGCCAGCGCCAGGGGATCCCAAATCATGGAATTACAGACTGGTTTGGGTGGGGAGGGACCTTAAAGCTCATCCCATCCCACCCCTGCCACGGGCAGGGACACCTTCCACTATCCCAGGTTGCTCCAAGCCCCGTCCAACCCGGCCTTGGACACTTCCAGGGATGGGGCAGCCACAGCTTCTCTGGGAATTCCATCCCAGCCCCTCACCACCCTCACCAGGAAGAATTCCTCCCCAGTATCCCATCTATCCCTGCCCTCTGGCAGTGGGAAGCCATTCCCTGTGTCCTGTCCCTCCATCCCTTGTCCCAGGTCCCTCTCCAGCTCTCCTGGAGCCCCTTTAGGCACTGGAAGGGGCTCTGAGGTCTCCCTGGAGCCTTCCCTTCTCCAGGCTGAGCATTCCCAGCTCTCCCAGCCTCCAAATCAAAGGTTCTCCAGCCCTCGGAGCATCTCCGTGGGCTCTCTGGGTTCACTCCAGCAGCTCCACATCCTTCTGCTGCTGCAGGCACATTCCAAAGCCCTGTCCCTGTGGATTTGGAGGTGCTCACAGCCCTCACCTGTAGTAGTTGGGTTTGAAGGGCCCGTTCTTGTTGAGCCCCAGGTACTTGGCCTGGTCGTCCGTGAGCTCCGTCAGGTGGGCGTCGAACGAGGGCAGGTGCAGGCTGGCCACATACTCATCTGGGAATGGGGCAGGGAAAACGGGATCAGGGGGACCCACACCCCCCACACACCCCAGGGAGCTGAGGGGGGGAGTCACCATCACCATCATCACCATCATCACCATCACCATCATCACCATCATCGCCACCGCCACCCTCCCCCGGAGTTACCACCACCCAACACCTGGAGCAGAGCAGAGCCCAAACCTGGGCTGGATGTGCCCCAAAAGGCACCAGGATGGCACGGAAAACCCTGGAGAAACCCTGGGGAAGGGAGCATAAGGAGAAGGGATGCCTCCCACGCTGCGGGACACCAAGGGAAATAAATCAAACCACCCCCACTCGTTTCGGAGTTGCTGCCTCTGCTGGTTTCCCTGAACTCCTTCTCCCTCTGGAAGTATTTCCCAGCCCCGGGGTGAGTTTTTCCTGACATCCCACATGGCTGGCACACAGAATTCCTAAGGAATTCTTCACTCACCCATCTTCTTGGGCAGCAGGTAAACATCCTGTTTGTAGCGGCCCTCGGGAGCGTTGTAGAGCTCAATCAGAGCCAGAGCCTGTGGAGAGCACAGGGATAATCTGGGAATGCTCAGGGATAGCCCAGGAACACCCAGGGGTGGCCATCAGCCATGGCAGCACAGGGACAGTGACAAGGATTTGGGAGCCACAGGGAGGGCACAACCATTTCCAAGGTGCCCTGAGGGAAAGGCTCCCAGCTCAGGGCATGTCCAGGATCCCTCTGGGAAGGGGGTCAGGGTCAGAGATGAGGGGGTGATGAGCTGGTTGTAGCAGCTGGGAAAAAACCCATGGAAAAACATGAGGATGGAGGACAATGGAGCAGCTCTGCCTCTTAAACCTCTGAGAGCTGCTGTGCCACGAGGGAATGGGGGGATTGCCAGTCCCTGCATGTTCCCAGCCCCACCAGTGTCCAAGTTCCCAACCCCACCAGTCTCCCCAGGATCCCCGTCCTACCAGTCTCCTCCAGTCCCACCAGTTCCCCCCATGTTCCCAGTCCCACCAGCCTTGCTTTGAGGTAAAGCCTAAACCTGTTCTAGGGGGCTTAAACCTCAGCTGGGGGAGTTTAAACCTCTGCTGGGGAGCTTAAATCTGTGCTGTGGGGGTTGGAATCTGTGCTGGGGGTTTAACCTGTGCTTTGGGGGCTGAAACCTGAGTTAAGGGGGCTGAAACCTGTGCTGGGGGGCCTAAACTTGTGCTCGAGAGGCTCAAGCCCATCTCCCAGCCCAGCGGGAGATCTGTGTCATTTGAAAAGCTCCCCCAAAACTTCCTGCACCCAAAACACCAAGTTCCCACCACCATTAATCCAGCCCAGGGAAGAGGTGGTTCCTGTGGTATTCCAAGGCCCCACCCCAGGGTGTTCCCAAAGCATCCTCACCCCCGAGGCCCCTCCTGGGTACAGACCTGAGTGGTGGCTGTGATGGAGAGGACGAAGGTGGGAACTGTGGAGCAGCTCAGGTTGAGCAGCCGGCCCTGGGGGAGAGCAGGAGTCACCCCAAATCCAAACCCAGTCAACATTCCAGGTGGGATTCACCTCCACCCCCTCCCGAGAGCCACCTTTGTGCCCAGAGCATTCCAATTCTGTCCCAGCTCCCACCCCAACCCTGAGCTTCAAGGCTGGGGAGTGTTGTGGTCCCTGGAAAAGCCAGTCCCTCCCTCCTGCCAGAGCAGCTGCAGTGGGAAGAGGAGCCAGATTCCTGCCTGGGAATCCCTGGCACAGCTGGAGCAGGTGGGTTTGGCTGAGGGGTGGCTCCCAGCTCCTTCTGACA